GGCGCTGCAGCCTGAGACTGCCTCCCAAGGAAACTCAGGGCCCACCGGAGGCCAGGCCGACCTCCCACGCCAAGAGCCCCGAAGGCTGCGCTCGGTCCCCGCCCTCCCTCCTTCGGGGAGACTCACCGGTTGGGCTGGGCGCGAATCTCACCCGGACGGCCATGAGCGGAAGCGGAGACCCCGCCCCCCACGCGGGCCCCAGCCTATCAGCGCCGATGGGGGCGGGGCGACCTGCCCCAGGCTGGTTCCTCCACGCCCCCCCCCCCCCCCCCCCCGGGGGGGGGCCCGGGCCCCAGGGGCCCCCCCCCCCGGCGGAGGGGGGGGGAAGAAATCCCCGAGGCAGACCTCCGGCCAGACCGCGGCGGATCAAGAAAGTTCGGCGCGCTCCTCCTACTGAGCAGGCGGCTCGGAGCGGGAGACTCCGCCCCCCCTGCGGAGGGCGGGGCTCTCCGACAAGGCCCGCCCCTCGGCCGGAAGGCGCGGCCACGGTGGCCGCCGAGGGCCAATCGCGGCGCCCTTCCCGACGCGCCCCGCGGCCGGGCTGTACACAATCATCATGGCCGCCACCTCTGCTTCCCCCGGTGCGCGTGAGAGAGAGAGAGCCCGCGGCCGCCTCGTCCCCGCGGCGCGCGAGGCGGGGGCCCCGGGGCGGGTGGGGGCCGCGGCGGCGGCGGTCCGTCTTCGAGCCCGCCGGCGGGGAGCTCCCGGCGCCTTTGGCATTGCGCGGGGCCCCGGCCGTGCCGCGCTTTGCCCGGCTGCGAGGGGGCGGCGCGAGGGGGGGTCCGGGCCGGGAGCCCCGGGAGGAGCCCCGCGGGGCGCGGGCGAGGTGCCGCCTGGGTCGCGGGTCTATTCCCGTTTGCCTTTTCGCAGACTCGGAGGAAGCCGGCATGGACGCGGAGGTGCGGAACCCGCCCGTGGGCTGCCAAGGCGGAGAGGAGGAGAATGGCTCCCTAGCTGCCGAGAAGGCCTCGGAGGCCGACGAGCCCCAGAGCGAGGCCCCCGACCTGGAGGCCGCCTCCGTCAGCAACGGCGGCGACACCGAGACGGAGAAGGAGCTGGTGGAGCTGAAGATCATCTGGAACAAGAACAAGTACGACCTCAAGTTCCCTCTGGACAGCACAGGAGCGGACCTGAAGCTGAAAATCCACTCGCTGACAGGTGAGAAGCCGCCTCTTTGCCCCCTGGAGGAAGGAGCTCCAGGCCGGGGGGAGGCTCCGGGGTTAAGCCTCCTCCCTCTTGGTTTCCCCCTTTGGCAGGCCTCCCGCCCGCCATGCAGAAGGTCATGTTCAAAGGACTGCTTCCGGAGGAAAAAACCTTGCGGGAAATCAAAGTGATCAGCGGAGCCAAAATAATGGTGGTGGGTTCGACCATCAATGACGTCTTGGCGGTCAACACCCCAAAAGATGCAGCTCAGCAGGAAGTGAAGTCGGAAGAGGCCAAGAAGGAGCCCCTCTGCAGACAGAAGGTTAGTCGGGGCCACCAGCTGGGTTTGAGCCTGCTTTTAAAGAGGTGAACTGTTTTGAACGGTGGGTCTCTTGGGAGAAGGGCTCTCTATATCGGGGGTCCCCAATCTTGGCCACTTTAAGGCTTGTGGGCTTCAACTCACAGAATTCTCCAGCCAGCAGAGCTGCTTTGATGAGCCCCTCCCATTTTTTGACTCTCCTTCTATTAAAAGAAGCTTCCCCCTTATTCTGACATTGTCCTATGACAGAGGTCTCCAAACTTGGCCACTTTAAGACTTGTGGACTTCAACTCCCAGAATTCTAGCTGGCTGAGTCTTAAGGTTGCCAAGTTTGGGGACCCCTGTCCTAGGGCAGCACAATTCTCTGTTAGAATTTGTCACCTGTTTACCTGAGAAGGAGATCAGGAACTGGGAGTGATTTGGAAGGAAGATAATAAAGTCAGGAAAGGACCAAGGGATTGAGGACAGAAAGTTTCATGATGGCTTAAGGCAAAGGTCTCTAAACTTGGCAACCTTAAGACTTGTGGACTTCAACTCCCAGAATTCTCCAGCCAGCTATGCTGGGTTTTGAAGTCCGCAAGTCTTAAAGTTGCCAATTTTGGAGACCACCTCTGTGCATTTCGATGCGTTCCTTCTTTTCCATTAACGCTCCAATTTTAAGATGGGTGGAAGCAATCTTTGCAACCAATTCATTGCCTATCAGCATATTCACAGACAGGCACTTTAACTTGTAGAGAATCCCCAGATTGGCAAATCTAATTCAGTAATGCTTTTGGGCCACCAAATGTGCTGCTCCTTTTTTAATTGTTCAGGTGTTTTCGGTCAGTGGTTCTGATGTTTTCGGTCAGTGGTTCTGATGT